TGTGTCCCTGCGGAACCCCCACACACTCTGGGCCGCAACGAGTAGGAGGGCTACTGAGATGGGCCTTAAAGCCTGGAGCGTAGGCTCAGGTGGAGTTGCTACAGGTGAGGGATTCACCTAACTCAGCAGATACTGCAGGCAGGCCTGATGGCAGCTGGACGGCTTGGCTTCCTGGCCTACAGGGCACATTGAAATTCAACCATGAGATTCCAGCAAAGATAGTCAGTTACCATTCTTGTTGTGTTTATGCAAACATCAGGACAGTAGATAAATTAATCTTGATTTGGCTTTTTCATAGCCATGGAGGAATTTTAAGAAGAAAAATCCTATTTCAATAGAGGTTGTTAAAGCTAAAATGTTTTCTTTCCCTTCCACCGGACCATTTGTTAAGCGTATAGGGATAGTTCAGTTGATAGTTCTGTGTGCCCAGTATGAGCCTCTAGCAACGGTAAAATAAAAATGCAGTCCGTCTCATGATTGAGCCGGAAGTTCCAAGACAAAGGGAGGGAATGAAAGGGCGAGGGCTATGCCCTCCATCTTGCCCCGTATCCTCCATGTTGGGGCAGCAGCCATGTGCTACCTTCTTCCAGGAAGCCCAAGCCTCTGCTAGCCACGCCCAGGATTTCTTTAACCAATGACAATCAAGGGAAGTGCACGCCATAGAGATGACCACATCCTGTGTAACGAGACACCGACTTGCGCCTGGCCAATCGGCAGGGCCCACAGTCCCCTCTCCTACCCTGACTCCACCCCCCTATAAAACTCCTCTTCGCCCCTGGCTAGGTCTCTCTCTCTGCCACCTGCTGCTGTGTCAGTAAGGAGGGTAGGGGAGCCAGACCTGGGTCTGTGATAATAAAAGACTCTCTGCTTTTGCATCGGACTCGGCTGGCTCCCTGGTGTGGTCTTTTGGGGATCCTGAAATCTGGGCATAACAATACTATAAACTCTTAGAAAAAAAAGAAAATCTTGAGACTTTGAATTAAGCAATACTTTTTAAGATACAAGTTTAAAAGAATTAGTCATGAAAGAAAAATTAGTAAAATAGGCTTTATCAAAATTCAAAACTTTTAAATATCATTAATAAAGGTAAGATAAGCCATAGACTGGAAGACAACATTTACAAATCATGCATCTAATAAAGGAGTTGTGTCCAACTGCAGAATATATAAAGAACTCTTAAAAACCCAACTTTGCAAGTGGCAAAAAAATGAAAAGATATTTCTCCAAAGACATACACAAATGGCTAATAAGTGCATGAAAAGATGTTCAACATAATTTGTCACCAGGGAAATGCAAAGTAAAACCACAAGAAAATGCCATTTCACATCCAACAGAATGTCTATAATCAAAAGGAAAGACAATAGCTAAATGTTGGCAATGATAGGGAGAAATAGAAACCTTCAGACCTTGCTGACTTGTATGTAAATGATAAGCCACTTTGAAAAACAGTTTGGCATTTTTAAAAAATAGCTAAACATAAGTTTACAATAAAACACAGCAACTCTACTTTTAGGTACCCACTTAAGAGCAATGAAAACATTATGTCTTCACAAAGACCAACATGTGAAAGTTCAGCATAGCATTATTCATTATATAGCCAAAAAAGTGGAATAAACCCTAATATCTACAACCTAAGAATGGAGAAAAAATATTTGCTACAGCTAGCATACTATAAGAGAATATTATTTAGCACTAAAAATGAATTAAATATAATACATGTTACAGTATAAATGAACCTCAAAAACATGCAAATTGAAAGAAGATACATACAATATACCACAGCCCTAACCGGTTTGGCTCAGTGGATAGAGCGTTGGCCTGCGGACTGAAGGGTCCCAGGTTCAATTCCAGTCAAGGGCATGAACTTTGGTTGCAGGTACATCCCCAGTAGGAGGTGTGCAGGAGGCAGCTGATTGATGTTTCTCTCTCATCGATGTTGCTAACTCTCTATCCCTCTCCCTTCCTCTCTGTAAAAAATCAATAAAATATATTTTTAAAAATACCACATATTGTATGAAATATACAGAAGAATCAAATATATAGACACAGAAGGCAGATTAGTGGTTGCCTGCAATTGGGAGTGGGAACTAACTAAACTGTCATGAAGGATCTTGTTTTTCCTAATACTGTCTGCATTTAAAAATTTTTAAGTTATAGTTGACATTCAATATTATGTGGTATTGGTTTTAGGTGTATGGCATAGTGATTATACAATCATATACTTTACAAAGTCATCCCAGTGATGTTTCCAGTACCCACCTGGTACCCTATACTATACTTATTACAATTATTGATTATATTCCCTATGCTGTACTTTATATCCCTGTGACTATTTTGTAACTACCAATCTGTACTTCTAAATCCCTTCACCTTTTTCAACCAGTCCACCAACCCCCTTCCCATCTGTCAGCCATCTGTCTGTTCTCAGGTGTGATGTGATATCTTGTGGTTTAATTTACATTTCAATGAAGATTAGTGACATTGAGCATCTTTTCATATGTCTGTATGTCCTCTTTGAATTAGTGTTTATTCAAGTCCCCTGCCCACTTTTTAATTGGATTCTTTGTGTTTGGGGTTTTTGTTTGTTTTGTTTTGGTGTTGAGCTGTATGAGTTCTTCATACATTTTTGTTATTAACCCTTTGTCAGATATATCATTGGTGAATATATTCCTGCATTCAGTGGGTTGTCTTTTTGTTTTGTTGAAGATTTTCTTTACTGTGCAAAAGCTTTTTAATTTGATGTAGTTTAATTTGTTCTTTTTTCTTTTGTTTCCCTTGCCTGAGGAGATGCATTAGAAAAAGGAGTTGCAAAGAGAAATGTTAGAGATTTTACTGCCTATGTTTACTTCTAGGAGTTTTATGGCTTCAAGTCTTACATTTAACTCTTTAACCCATTTTGTTTATTCTTGTATATTGTGTGAGAAGGTAGTCCAGTTTCATTTTTTGGATGTATCTGTCCAATTTTCTCAGTACCATTATTGAACATATGGTATTTATTGAATTTTCTTGCCTCCTTTGTCAAATATTAATTGACCTTATAGGCATGGATTCATTTCTGGAATCTCTATTCTGTTGCATTAATCTATGTGTCTGTTTTTATGCCAGTGCCATGCTGTTTTGACTACTACAGCCTTGTACTATAGTTTGATATCAATTAGCACGATACCTCCAACTTTCCCCCTCCCCTCAAGATTGCTGTGGCTATTCAGGGTCTTTTGTGGTTCCATAAAAAATGTGAATTATTTGGTCTAGATCTGTAATATGCCATTGGAATTTAGATAGGAATTGCATGTAATCTATACATTGTTTTGGATAGTATGGACATTTTAATTATGACAATTCTTCCTCTCCATGAGCCTGGTATATGCTTTCATTTATTTGTATCTTCTTCATTTTTTTCTTAATTCTTATAGTTTTATAAGTACAGAACTTTTGACTCCTTTGTTAAATTTACACCTAGGTATTTTAGAATATTGTAAATGGATTTTTTAAAGTTTTTTTTTTCTTTCTGATAGTTTATCACTACTATATAAAAATGCAACTGATTTCTAGATATTTGTTTTGTATTCTAATTTACTGAATTAATTTATTACTTTTATTAGTTTTTTTGTGGAATATTTAGGGTTCTCTATATAGGGTATCATGTCATCTGCAAATAATGACAGTTTTACCTCTTCCTTTCCAATTCGGATACTTCTTATTTCTTCTTCTTGTCTAATCCCTGTGGCTAAGACTTTTAGTACTATGTTGAATAACAGTGCTGAGAGCAGATATCCCTGCCTAGTTCCTGATTTAAAAACAAAACAAAACAGAAAACACTATTCATTTTTCCATTTTGAGTACAATGTTGGCTGTTGGTTTGTCATATATGGTTTTTGTTATGTTGAGATATGTTTCCTCTATTCCTACATTACTGAGAGTTTTGATCATAATGGGTGCTGGAATATTTCAAATGTTTTTCTATATCTATTTATAAGAAGTGTGGTTTGGTGACGATAGCCATTCTGACAGGTGTGAGATGCTATCTCATTGTTGTTTTGATTTGCATCTCTCAGATGATTAATGTTGAGCACATTTTCATATGTCTCTTGGCCTTCTGTATGTCCACTTTGGAAAAATGTCCATTTAAGTCCTTTGCCCATTTTTTGATTAGATTGTTTATCTTCCTTTTTTAAAGTTGTATGAGTTCCGTATAAATTTTAGAGATTAGGCCTTTATTGGATATAACACTGGCAAATATGTTCTCCCATGCAGTGGGAGTTCTTGTTGTTTAGTTGATGGTTTCTTTTGCTGGACAGAAGCTTTTTATTTTGATGTAGTCCCATTTGTTTATTTTTCCCTTTTTCCATTTCCCTAAGAGCTATGTCAGTAAAGAGATTACAATGACAAATGTCTGATATTTTGTTGCCTATGGAGTCTTCTAAGATTTTTATGGTTTCCTGTCTTACGTTTAAGTCCTTTATCCATTTTGAGGTTATTTTTGTGTATGCTATAAGTTGGTGGTCTATTTTTTTTTTTGCATATATCTGTCCAATTTTCCCTAAATTGTTAATTGAAGAGATTGTCTTGACTCCATTGTATGCTCTTGCCTCATTTGTCAAATATTAATTGAGCATAATGGCTTGGGTCATTTTCTGGGTTTACTGTTCTGTTCCTTTGGCCTATATGTCTGTTCTTGTGCCAGGACCAGGCAGTTTAGAGAACAGTGGCTTGGTAATATAGCTTGATATCTGGTATTGTGATCCCTCCAACTTTGTTCTTCTTTCTCAAGATTGCTGTGGTTATTTGGGGTCTCATTTTATTCCATATAAAGTTTTAGAGAGTTTGTTCTAGGTCTTTGAAGTATGCCGTTGGTATTTTAATCGGGATTGCATTAAATTTATAGATTGCTTTGGGTAGTATGGACATTTTAATGATGTTAATTCTACCAATCCATGAACACAGTATATTCTTCCATTTATTTATGTCTTCCTCTATCTCTTTTTTCAATGTTCTGTAGTTTTTGAGTGCAGGTCTTTTACCTCCTTATTTAAGTTTATTCCTAGGTATCTTAATTTTTTTTTTTTAGTTGCAATGATAAATGGGATTGGTTCTTTGTTTGTTTCTCTTTCTATGAGTTCATTATTGGTATACTAGAGGCCCGGTGCACAAAAATTTGTGCACTCGGTGGGGGGAGGGGGGTCCCCCAGCCCGGCCTGTGCCCTCTCGCAGTCTGGGACCCCTCGGGAGAGAGCTCCCCCCTATCAGGCACAGAGCAGGGCTGATCAGGGGTTGGGGAGCTCCCCCCTATCAGGCACAGAGCAGGGCTGATCAGGGGTTGGGGAGCTCCCCCCTATCAGGCACAGAGCAGGGCTGATCAGGGGTTGGGGAGCTCCCCCCTATCAGGCACAGAGCAGGGCTGATCAGGGGTTGGGGAGCTCCCCCCTATCAGGCACAGAGCAGGGCTGATCAGGGGTTGGGGAGCTCCCCCCTATCAGGCACAGAGCAGGGCTGATCAGGGGTTGGGGAGCTCCCCCCTATCAGGCACAGAGCAGGGCTGATCAGGGGTTGGGGAGCTCCCCCCTATCAGGCACAGAGCAGGGCTGATCAGGGGTTGGGGAGCTCCCCCCTATCAGGCACAGAGCAGGGCTGATCAGGGGTTGGGGAGCTCCCCCCTATCAGGCACAGAGCAGGGCTGATCAGGGGTTGGGGAGCTCCCCCCTATCAGGCACAGAGCAGGGCTGATCAGGGGTTGGGGAGCTCCCCCCTATCAGGCACAGAGCAGGGCTGATCAGGGGTTGGGGAGCTCCCCCCTATCAGGCACAGAGCAGGGCTGATCAGGGGTTGGGGAGCTCCCCCCTATCAGGCACAGAGCAGGGCTGATCAGGGGTTGGGGAGCTCCCCCCTATCAGGCACAGAGCAGGGCTGATCAGGGGTTGGGGAGCTCCCCCCTATCAGGCACAGAGCAGGGCTGATCAGGGGGTTGGGGTGCCTTCCCCTGTCATGAACAGAGCAGGGCAGATAGTGAGGTTGTGGCCCCGCCCCCTGTCACACACAGAGCCGCAGGGCGATCAGGGGGTTTGGGCGCTGCCCCCTGTCATGCTGATCCCGGTGCCGGGAGCCTCGCTGCTCCGCTGATCCCGGTGCTGGGAGGCCTATTACCCTTTTACTATATAGGATAGAGGCCTGGTGCATGGGTAGGGGCTGGCTGGTTTGCCCTGAAGGGTGTCCTGGATCAGGGTGGGGGTCCGCACTGGGGTGCCTGGCCAGTCTGGGTGAGGGGCTGAGGGCTGTTTTCAGCTGGTCACACACTCTTCAGGGTGTGGGTCCCCACTGGGGTGCCTGGCCAGTCTGGCTGAGGGGCTGAGGGCCGTTTTCAGGTTGGCGGGTGACTGAAGCTCCCAACTGCTCCTTTTTTTCTTTTCTATTCTGGGCCAGCTTTAGCTCTGAGGCCTCGGCTCTGGCCTTTACCTTCTGTATTTGATACAATGTTGCGGTCTGACTGGCTGAAGCCCAGCTGACTGAAAGCCGGTTTATGGGGTTTTGTTTAGCTTCTATATTTGCAACATAGTTGCTTAGAGTTGCAGCTGAGAGGTCGGCAAGTGAGGCGGGGAACGTTGGAGTCCGCTGTCACTGGAGCAAGCAAGCCTCCCTGTTCGCTTCAGCGCATGGCTGCTGGCCGCCATCTTGGCTGACAGTTAATTTGCATAAGGATATGCTGATTAGCCAATGGGAAGGGTAGCAGTCGTACGCTAATTACCATGTTTCTCTTTTATTAGTGTAGATAAAAAAGCCATAGATTCTGGGTGCTAATTTTGTATCCTGCTACATTGCCAAATTCATTTATTAAATCTAGTAGTTTTGTGATAGAGTCTTTAGGTTTTCTATGTACAATATCATGTCATCTGTGAATAATGACAGTTGTACTTCTTCTTTTCCAATTTGAATGCCTTTTATTTCTTCTTATTGTCTAATCACTATGGCTAGCACTTTCACTACTATGTCAAACAGGAGTGGTTAAAATGGGCATCCCTGTCTTGTTCCTGTTCTTAGGGGAAATGGTTTTAATTTTTGCCTATTGAGTATGATGTTGGCTGTAGGTTTGTCATATAAAGCTTTTATTATGTTGAGGTATGATCCCTCTATTCCCACTTTGCAGAAAGGTTTTGTGGAGAAAGCATATTGGATTTTGTCAAATAATTTTTCTGCAT